ATATTATGAACTGATATAAGTATCATATTTTTTATTTTTTTTATTAAAACATCACATCAATAAATAATACGAGTATATTACAGAGTACATTATGGGTTAATTTATTAACACAAAAATATATATCACTGTCCATTAAACTCTGGCTTTCCTTAATGGCTGTAGCTTTATTTGTAAATTATAATGATTATTTAACATTTTTTCTATACAACCCTATTGTAGTATATCGTCATGCAACAGTTATAAGACAGAGAAACAGAGTAGATATTTGAACATTCTAATTAAAATTTGCATTCTAATGGAAAAAATAAAGCCCATTTTCCATGAATTTGTCTACTGAGATTCCTTCATTCATTTGGAATAAGTAACTTAGTCAAAAGTGCAATTGCCCAAATGTGTTTACACCAATCAAGTGCAGATGGTGACTGTGGAGATTACCATCAGGCAATGCACAGTCTAACAGAATTCAGCAAGCAAGTTGTCAATTTTATGTTGAAAAACAAGTCTATAGTGTTACATTTTTAAAAGACATCAGATGGTATTATATTGTAATGCACCAATGAACCTCAGTTATTGGGCAGTATAAAAATGAAATAAATGTGTTCTAGTTTCCTGAGTATGGAAATATTCATAATTGCATTTGCTACATACGTTTCGCATCCTCCTACCAAAGAGCTCAGACCATCCTGGTGTAGTCTCATAACAACCCTCCAAGTCAGGTCATACTGAGAGGAAATTGTAAGCCTCAAAGCTGAGCAGCAAATGAATCACTTGGATTTCAAAAAAAAAACTCAGATATAAAATTACAGAGCTAGTAGGAGACAATGTAAGATCCCCAGAGTTTCATACAACTAAGGGTGCACTCTGTTTGGGACTTTTGGGTGAATTTTTCTAAATCAAATAAATGTTGTTGTTGTTAGTTGTGAAGTTTTTATTTTATTTATTAAAACATTTTTATGCTGCCCCATTCGCCGAAGCCTCGGGGCGGCTTACAACAACATCCAACCCATCGCAACCCCATGGACAACATTCCTCCAGGCCTTCCTGTCCTCCGCCATCCCCCGAAGTCCACTTAAGCTCACACCAACCGCTTCAGTGACTCCATCTGGCCACCTCATTCTCTGCCATCCCCTTCTTCTTTTGGCATCTATTGTTCCCAGCATTAGGCTCTTCTCCAGCGAGTCCTTCCTTCTCAATCAAATAAATAAAATATATAAATATTGTTTTCAAGAAAGGGTCCAACAACTCCCAGCATGACTAGTTGGGTCATTTTGGGAGATGCAGAGTTTTCTTCTGTCTAAACATGCATAGAACAGCATCCTAAGCATTGTTTCAGTTTCCTAACTTAAAAATCCTTATGAAACTGACCAAGTACAATACAATATACGTGTCACATTGTGGCCTGATTCTGGTAAAATGAAAAATACATGTAGTTAGGATAATGCTCTAAACAAGAAACATACTTTAAAAATACTTCTCCAATGGATTACCATAATGTGTCATAAATATTAGGTCTGTCTTTCCGAATGGTTTGGAAGAGTCATATCCCATTTGTGCTTCAAGACTCCATTCACTGCTAGTCCTCATCTGAGCTAAATTGGGCTTTTAAAGCTCTAAGCAGCTTATGATTCAGGTGTCTGAAGGAGTACCTTCTCCCACAGCATCTTGCCTACACTTTGAGATCACCAGCCAATGTTGCCTCCTAATTAGAGGTGAAGCAGGTGGCAATCAGGAAAAGAGCCTTATCGGTTGTAAACCTGAATCAACTGAATGAATTCTTTAGGATGGGTTGCCTGGCACATCAACTGTTTCTTGAAGAGGCCAGGTGAACATAATTTTTTTCTAGCAACCTTTTAAAGAATTGTAGGCATGTAACAAAGTAGAAATGTTAGTACATTCTGCATTAGCTGCATCTTCTGCATTGTGCCCCTGAACTACTTTCCCTGATTTGGACAGACTGAAGAAATAAGAGCTCTAAATTTGGGAAGGGCAGTGTATAAATTTCATAAAAAAAGAGAACACACATAAGAACATAATAAAGATGAATAATGTCTGAAAACTGTTAGAGAAAACATCAAGAAAGGTTTGGGTTTCAGAAAGTGGCTTACTAAGAAAGTATTGTTATTCAAATAGGCTGCATTTCAATTTCTTCTGATGTAGAAATTAATTCTTTTAGTTCCTGACTGCACAGCTTACAAAAATACAACCACACAGACTCATACATAATCTTACTAGCAGATTGTGACCTGATAGGGACAGAGTAAGAAAGAGAAATTGATCAAACAATTGAGATCTGAGAACTGCAAAGGCTCCTGTCTCCTACAAATACTCCTAGATGAAAGGAATATGAGAATGATTCATCCATTGATATACTTACAGCTGCTAGAATTTGGTTTGGGGTGCCTCTAAATCTCCAAAGTCAAACATTGCTTAAATATTTCAATATGAGCACATAACAGAAACAATTTTGTTATCAAAATTAAGCATATACTTATGCTTTTATTCACCTATCTTTTAAGGTTGCAGGTTGTTTTAGCTACGCTATTAAGTGTCACTGAATGTAGCATGCAGAACTGCAACCTAGCTCAATAACCTTGCGGCCTAATCCTATGCTTACTCAAAAGTAACCTCTATTGATTTTAGCGGGTATTACTTCCAAATTTTAAGAACTGCACCCATGATACTTTATTGAATGAGGATACAATATGGCCTTTTCTGTGAAGTGGTATTTGGGTGTTTCAAGTGTGCCAATACCAAAACTTGTTGGCAACCTAGTATAGCAACCAATTTGAGTGGCCAAAGGGTGGAACAAAAGTGCCAAAGAAGAATATGACATTACTACTATGCAGCAACATAGCCAGCTCTGGTTAAATTGCTCACATCTATCCAGTCAGAGAAACTGGAACTGTTCCGCACAAATATTGTTGCTGTGGGTTCAAAACTCAAACACCACTTCATATTCCTGCCCAAAGCAGAAAGAGATAAAGCTATACTGTTTAGTTCTCCACAACTTCATTATAAGGCAATTGAGTATTTATTTTACTTCATTTAAATTATTGCCTATTCATTATAAAAGAACAGCTAAGCAGAGATGTCATGGATAAGGCATTTTACAGGACTTTCCTACTGCTTCTTCTGCCTTTGTTCTTCCACTGAAAATCTGTTGCAGAGGGAAATGTAAAATCACTGCATAGTGTCTTCTGATTGGTAGCACTGAGAGCTCTCTATCTAGAAACACCTGTAAACTATAAAATATAAGATAACTAATGATTATGAATTAATAAGTAACTCATTATTACAGAAGCACCAAAACAGTGCAGCTGTGTAAAGCACCGTTTGCAAATGATCCCCAGGGCCTCTTTCATCACATTTTACGACAAGGGTAGTCATGGGGCCCAATCCAGTCCCACCAGAACTCTCCAACCAGCCCACCTAGACCCCTCCCTAAAGACCTCCCTCCTTGGAAGAAATGCAAGGGGTGAGGGAAGCCTCCTGAGTCAGAAGCCACTGTCTTAAGGTGCCTAGAGCATCCTGGAGTTACAGTTCCTAAAGGCTTCACTTGCCTTTCCTAGTTGGGGTGGGGGGAAGCCAAGGGGTGAGCGAAGCTGGCTCAGTTGGAAGTGGCAGCCTCAAGACCCCAGGAGTACCTTGAAGCATTAGCTGCTGAAGGAACCACCCTCTTTTCAATGCTGCAGCAACTGCAAAGAAGTGGTTCCAGTTCACTGTGAGCACATACACATGCTTTAACGGCATCTATGTAGAGTATATGAAAGTGTGTGTGTGCAAGGAAAACAGCATGTGGCACACCTAGCCACTTTGGGACCTTTGTACCACACTTGCTTTAAGTGAAAAGAAACCAAGTGTGCCTATGAACTTTTCCTCAGAGGTAATGTGAGGAACTTGATGCGTTCAGGATGGCTTTACTCCCATATCAGCATGATTGCCTGCTATGAGTACAGCATTGGCTACAATTAAAAATATAAAGAAAGCCATGCTGATCTGACCAGGGACTGATCTAGTCCAGCAGTTAGTTCACACAGTGGCCATGAGAGGGCCAAAGGGAAAACATGACTGTGACAGCAGACTTATTCATAAGTAAGTTCTGCTAAGGGTGCGATCCTATGCATGTTCAGATAGGAAAAAACCCCTTCAACTCTCCCATATGGTTTTAAAGGAATTTTTCACTTAGTTAAGTATGTATAGACTTGTCTTTCCCAGCAGACTTTGGCTAAGCATGCCTAACAGTGCAACCTACATCTTGTTTACTTAGACGTGAGGAGCATTGAGTTTTATAGGATTTACCCCCCAACGAAGTCTGCAGCACTCTAAATGCTTTACTCAAGATACTAAAAGCATATCCTTTAAGACACATGCAGCTGATAAACTGGCTTTCTGCTTTGGGGCAATTCCGCCCTCTCTTCTGACATAGAAAAATAAGCGAATGAGCAATACAAGACTATAACAATTTTGAATGAAGATAAGCGGCAAAACATCTCACAAAAATATATTAATACCATCGGTATTGTAAGATGTTACCATGCCTAACCATAACGACAGAAGCAAAACAATAGCAAAAAGGACAAAAAGCTTGGGCGAAAAACCCGCACAAATTGCACCTGGAGCACCTAACAACCATAAAAAGATGGATTTACCAGCAGGTGTCACTAAAACTCTCATTGAAATAACTACCCACCATCTCCGCCTTCCCATATCTTTGGTAACAGCCTCACGAAATACTGCAAAAAACCACTCTTGGTTGCCCTGAATGAAGCTTTACCTTTAGGGAGAGCGAACATGACTGCTATGACGATATCGCCACGCCCCTTACAATAACTGACGTCTAAGCAAGCCAATTGGCTCTCTGAGAAAGAGAGCGGGCAGGCCTTCAACTGGTACAGCCAATGTTGCTGCGGCTTGACCCAGAAACTAGGCAGCGAAAAGGAAGAGACTGATTCTTAAAGCTTAGTACCCGCGTGAGAATGGGAGTGGAGAACGAACGAGCGCAACCAGAACTCAGGAGTTCTCGCGAGAGTTTTCTATTCCACTTCTTACTGGGTGACTGCGCAGCTGCCATGTTGGTTGCTATGCTGCTGCCTGTCTGAGGGCAGGCGGGAGGGAAGGAAGGAAGGAGGGAGGCTGGCTCTGGGGAGGGGAGAAAGACGGAGGAGGCGGCGGCGTCGGCTGCTGCCAGTGCTCGTTTCCCCCCCACTCCCTCCTCGAGGCACAGACGGGCAAAGTCCTGCTGTGTAGCTGCTGTTTCCTTGTCCCCTCCCCCACAGCTGCAGGAGAAGGAGGAGAGAAGGAGAAAGCCTTACTGGGGGGTCGGTGGGAGGCGGCGGCAGCGGCTAGCTTCATCTCAGATAGAGGGGTGATCGCTGAGACCCCTTTCCTCTCCCTCCCTTGATTTCCTGGTGGGGGGGGAGGGGGGAAGGTTGCATTGCCTTCCCCCTATCCTTCCTCCATCTGCCCACCCATCCTTGCCTTTCTGCCTGCAGTAGGAATGTGGGGGGGCTTTGAGTTGCGAGTGGGGCGCTCAGTGCAACCTCTGTTGGTGATCCCCCATCCTTTTTGCTTACTGCCGCTGCTTGGGGGTGCAAGAACTATATTGAACTGAGCTGAGCTGATCTCGGGGTTGAACTGAACCTTTGGGCGACGGAGACCTCCCTACCCGCTTACCTTTTGGCTTCTCTTCTTTGCGTTGACTGTCGCTTTATTATCACTCACTGGAAGGACGTGGCTGTTATATGAAGGTAAGAGAATCTGTATGTATGTTTGACATATTAAAATGGAAAACTTCTCCCTCGCCCCAAAAGATCGTTAAATACGACTCTCTCTTTAAATATAGAATATGTAATATCCATAAAGTAAGAAGTCAAAATTACCAGTTCATTCCCTGTATTGCTATGGAGTCTTGGGCTAACGCAAGAGATGGCAGAAGAATGTGGCAACACCAAAGTAGGGTGGATGAGTGAACATTTGTTAGACTTCCCAGATCATAATTATCCGAAGTATTGATTTGGGAAGGACTTTAATTTGCGGTTGTGGATTTGTTATACAGTGGAATATCCTTTAAAAATACGATGTATCTTCTTACTCTAGTAAGGGTGCTAAAGAGACGGGGGAGTTGGTGATTTTACGTTACGCTATCTCCTTTTTTTTAAAGCCTAGTATTGGTCTATCAAACACTAGACAGATCCTGAAGGTTGTGGTTATTTCTTCTTTCGTGAAGCGGTTGTATTTGCAAGCGTCTGCACACTGTTAGCATTCATAGAAATGGTTTCTGAAACCCAAAGGATAAGAATGGCTTTCCTGTAGTGTTGTGTTTGCGTCCTATTATGTTAGCCAGAGAAGCAGCAGGATTACGTTATTCTTATGGGAGTGGAGAAATGACAAAATTAGGTTGCCTGAAGGCGTGCAAGGGTCCTGAGCTGGGTTCGTTGATTGCAGCTGTAGTCAGGCCAGCAAGGCTTAGATATGGTTTCTGAGATCAAAAGGTTGCACGGTTTATTTTATTGATTATATTATAGGGTTATGATGTTTGAAACAGTTAATTTTAAAGCATGTTTTTCTGTAATGTGTTCTGAAAGCTGAAAGCAAATCTAGTGATATGTTTTGCTGTATTTTCAAGGTATGTATGCCAGTGTAGATATATTCTAGATTATGCATTCGATCAACTAATTCCTTAACTGTATGCATTAGATAGGTAAAATAGTAACTTTGAAAATGAAGTGCTATAAAGAACTAGTGCATTTTGTTTTATACTAATGGACTTCTCTTAAGATGCATCAGGCTATAAAGGTTTTGCCCTTTTGCCTATGTTGCCAAATCAGATGCCACAGTATTCAAAAGTGCAAATAGAAATAATGGTAAAGTGTACTAGGGACCAGCTGGTTTTGCAACTCTTTAGTTTTGATTTCTTGAATGAGCTTTTTAAAAGCGCAGTATTTTCAATTAAAAAAGGTTAGATCTACAGTGATAACCTAAGATTTCTGTGTAGATAGGAAGAAATTTAATTGCAGTTAGAGATCAGTGCAGAAAACCATATCATTAAACAGGTTTATAATCATTGGACTTTTTCCTTTTCTTTTCCTGCCTTTGCATATTGTGTTTTCACCTGTGGAGGAAAGAATATAAAGATTTTCTGCTGGCTATGTTTTCTATGAAATATTGCTGATGTTATCAAATAAAGGTACATAATATTTACATGGATATAAACGTGATAACATATCTTTTGTGAAGTTAGTCTAAACAAAATTTCAGAAACTGGAGGCAAGAAGATGGTTAACAATTCAAGACTGGCATCTTTCTAGATTGTGAAACTGTAATTCAGACTAATACTTGAATGCATTTTTTCTTCTCCTGATTTTTTCCTGTAAGATCCTTTTTCACAAGTCAATATTTTCCTCATGCTGAAAGATAAGTTCAATAAGTTTAGAAAGTATTGCACTGAAATGACTTGTTTTAAACTGAGTATTATAGTTCGGAATTACATTTGTGATGTTTGACATAGCTTTGCTAGTTACCATGTTGTGCAAGCATAAAGTTAAGTGCATTGTATTTTGGCAACCTTATGTTCATGTCCCCTTTGTCATACCCTTTGGCACATTTGTGTATCATCTGGTATCAGTCTTCATTATTATATGTATATTTAGATTATCTCATTACAATATTTATATCATTAACATGATCTAATGAACATTTGTGTGTTGTGTGGTAGGGAGCATATAACAGTTGCATTTCACAGACTAATTTTTGCACTGAAGTTGAGTTCCCTTGACTTTGCTTAGGGTAATAGCCCTATCCTGGTTCTTGCATGTCAGTGAGTGAATATTTAGGGTGAACATTATTTATTGAATGCATAATATCTGCTGGCAATGCAGAAACACAGTGAAGCCATTGAAAAGAGACTTGATATTATTTAGGTATGCACTACCCTGATACAATAAGGAGTGATCCTTATATTCATCCAGTGTGTTCTGAACTTGATCCAGAAGAATGAGTGGCAGCAGATTGTGCTTTTGCTACTGTAGCTCCATCTCCTCTGTTGGAAGGAGTGTGAATCAGTGCCAACAATTCTTTCCTGCTGGTCATCTCTTTGCTTGGTTAAAGTGAGAAGCAGAGAGATGCAAGCACTAATATAATTAAGAATCTCCGAATCCTTGGATGATTGTGCAAGTAATCTCATTTGCAGTTTCATGTAGCTGAAGGTGAATAAAGAAAATACATTTAGGGAATGCCTGTGGCCTAAAACCAAGTGTTCCAGTTGGTGACTGGGAAACAACTCTGGATGAATGTTATTAGCAAAAAAAAAAAAAAAGTATGTCACCTTTATCTGCTGGATTCTATTGGATTTAGTGTATTCCAGCTTCCCCCCACACCCCTGAACACTCCTTTTGGAAAAACTAGTATGCTCTAGTGCTTCTGTAGAAACACCTGTAGTTTTTGGAAAGCAAAAGAATTGTGTGTGTGTATGTGTTTTTCTTACCTATTCTACTCATTTGTATTCATATAAATACTCAATTTATAACATTCTTACATTAGTAACTAGTTTAATACATTGAAATATCTTCCTGGTCTGTTACTATAAAATAAAAACTAACTAGTACTGTGAAATATATTTTTCTTGCTCAAAATAATTTTTCCCATTCTGATTCCCAATTCTTGTAGTTCCTGCAGTTCTCGTAGTATTAACACTGAAAGGCAAGGATTGTCATTTTATATGGAGAGGTATATATATTAAATATATAATGAATAATGCCTAGACTTTTTATAGGCAGTCAGGTATGGCAAAATATTTTCTTTTCCTAAACATTAAATGCTACTTGAGTTGGCATATTAATTCATATGTATTTCAAAAAGGTATTGTAAGATTGTAGTTTAGCCTCTATATCCCCACCACCACCTTAGGTTTCATTATAACCATCATACAGCAAAGATTCCTGGGCCAGTGTACATTGTCTCTGTGCCTGATGTGTACTGCACTGCCTGCTTCTGTGGCTCAGAGAAAGCAGAGTGAATATGACAAAAGGTCTTGCATGCCTTGAACCTGACTTTGGGGCACTTGCCTTCACTGACTGAATGTTGCTGGTATAACAACACTTAGGATTCTACTGTGAAAGGGGATTATACAGGTGTTGTGCATACATGTTCTTGACTTTGTGCAACATTTTTTTTGACTTCTACACCCTGAAATATCCAGAACTGCAAAATTGCAGGGCTATTTCATAGAACAAGTATTTTAGGTATGCATCTGAAGTTTAGATGTTTCGATTCAAAGTGCAGAACATGTGATAACTTGAGCAGAGGAAAGAGTTTTGGAAGTGTGGATCCAGCTGTATCCCCATTTTCTAAGCCTTCACTGCTAGGATAGGGAGGAACTAGCCTTTCCCTGCCTAAGCAAGGGAAGAAGCACAGATTCAGTTGGATTTAGCATGTAACCCTTGACATACTCCTTCACAGGCAGTAGGGCAGGGTGTGCGGGAGAAGATCATTCATTCCTGATCTAAATATATGATAGTGTGACTGTGACAAATTATCTTATGAGAATGTTCATTAGGAAGCTAGAACTGTTTGCAATGTCCTGTTGTATTCAGCTGATGGCAGACTGATATGTGTAATGGTCCACACCTAAGACAATTAATGCTGTTGTGCTTGTATGGTATAGCCTAGCATCCCTCAGACTGTAACTTCCACTTCTCCCAGCTAGAGTGACAAGTGACTATTGTGATTGTGAGATATGTCGTCTAACCATTGGGAGGGCATCAGGTTGGGGACGGTTGAATTTTGTAAAATGGTAATTTTCACATGTGCATTTTAATTTAAAATACAGCATTGCTGAAAGTACTTAGATTCTGCTATCGTATTAATTCTAAGCCATGGACTGCAGTGTTCAAGTCATAGGTTCTGTCCTGGTGCTCAGGGGGACTTAATTTTGAGTAAGCATACATTGTGTTTGAACTAAAACAATTTTGGTGTAGTTAAGAGGTTTTAAGCATCTCATTTCAATGGGAGAAGACTTTATCACTTAGAAGTCCTTGCCATAAATAGCTTTGGGTTTTTTTTTATTTGATACAATATTGTCTCTGAAGAAGAGATTGAAAACACTCTTTTTAAAAAAAAAATGTGGCCATATTTGCAACACAGTTGTGTTTTTAGTATTTCCCATCCTAAGCTCACTCTTCTTAACAAAGGATTATGTTTTTTTGTACTAAAACCTTATCTGTACCAATGTGGAGAATTAAACAACTTTTCTTTTTGGCTTGTGAAGAATTCTGTGTAGCATAAATTTAGATAATTCTTAAATTGATCAGGTAAAATATTTTGCCAAACACATTCTGCAATCAGTGTCATGTTTGGTACATTTAAATTATGATGTGACAGAGGACTTTCAAGAAAAATAATATTAAGAACTGGCAAATGTTGGTGGTACTGATAACCATTTTCTTCTCGGTTAACTCTATGGGTAAGGAACGTATACCACTTTCAAATTAGGGTACGTACATTAGTGGACAGTTTTGATAAATAAGATACCAAATATGAGTGTTGGCTTGAAACAATTGCTTTTATGCTTCAGTCAACAAAGTAATGGTCTTCATTTGGGGCATATTTTATTTTCTATAATTAAGTCACACTGATTTGCGCTTTTTCTAATGTTCTGATCTACTAATCATAGATTAAATTGCCTGTGCTGCTTACTGTCCACAACTATAAACATTGTTCAATGTTTAGACAATGCTATAGGCAATGTTTA